CGCGCTTGCCTACTGCCTCTGCCGTCACCAGTACCTAGGCCCCGGGGGGATTATGCACGCGAGCAAGCGCCGTGCTCAACAGCATCCCTCCCGGGCCTAGGGCGCCAAACATGCTCAATCATAAACATGCTTAAATCTAATAAGTCTAACGGCATCTTCCTCATGGGTCTCTCCAAAGTGAAATCACAGCTGTTGTTTCCCTGTGAGGACGAGCTGATTTAGTTAACATTGAGATCTAAGAGGAAGAATTCTGTGTAGCCCATGGATTGAATTTAGGCTGCAGCACTGCGGGTGGTCTACCTCGGTGCACGGGACCAGCTCAAGCTATCAATGCCCTTTCCGGAATTAGAATACATTCATGCCTTGGCCTCTCCAGGAGCTTTGGAGGTCCTTCAAGTACCATGATTCAAGTGTGCTGGGGTCTAGTTCACGTGTATTGAAATTAGTTTCCTCAGCAGAGTGGCTGGGTGCTGACGTCAGAGCAGCGCACACCATCTGCCCTCTACGCCTCATCAACGTTGCTGTACCGTATAATAAACCAGTTTCTTTCACGTATTAAAAATAGTGGTGTCAAACAATTAGAATAGTGAATCACGATTACTTGCATTAACGTCATAGTTAAGATGAAAGATAATTACACAGTTTTCCTTGATCTAAATGTATTTTTTACAGTGTATAGAACAGAATCAGAATCCTTTCAATTGCCATTTGAGTAACAGGAAGTCTCAAACTAGGAAATGGCTTTGGCTCTCGGTGCAAACAAGTTAAAATAGAAAAAATCAAAGGCATGCATAAATAAAAATCTACATAAATGTCTTCAGTTTACTATATACAAGTGCACTAGGTGCACACAATAGTAAGTAAGTAATATTTATTCATATACCGCCTTTCACAGACCGAAGTCACAAAGCTGTTTACATTTGTAAGGTCTTGGGCATTTCTTACGTGGCAATAAAAATGATTCTGATTCTGATTCTGATTATCAATATAAATACCTAAATGACCAGTTTAGAAGTATTGTAGATGATTTGATGTACATATACATCCGCTGACACAATATGTTCCTATGTTGTGTGGCTCACATGATAAACTTATACTTAAACTTATAATGTTTCAGTGTCATATTATATATCAGGAAAGCTCACACCACTGTCTAAATTGAGCGTGCATGTTCTTGTGAGCGCTTCCTGTTCTTTCTTCTGAGGCTGCGTTGTCAGAAAACACAGAGCAGCAGTTACGTTTGCAGTCGTGCTTTAAGGGCACAAAAGTCTTCACAAAACCATACATTTTAAATTGATGTGTGTACTGTAAGTAATACTGTTGCTGCATACTTCAGATATCCTTCAAATGTGTTTCTATTCAGAGTTCATTGTTATAGAAATCCTTTTGTGAGAATATGGATTGCTGAAGGCCAGACAGGACAGCATTTCAACCCACACTTAGCATTGGAAGATAACATCTGGAGTATGACTAGTTTGTGCTGCACAATATTGGAGTGCGACATATGTGATATCAAAGACTTAGTATGTACAGTATGTATGTATGTATGTATGTATGTATGTATGTATGTATGTATGTCACAAAAGGTGTAAAAAAATCATCCACGGTAAATAAATGAGTTGATTTCATGTATTAAAAATTGGCAAATATTTCTAGTGAGACTTGTTTCCCTGCAAGGACTGAGAAAGATTTGTGTTTTCTATGGACTGTCTTTGATTTTTCCACTCTGTATCTACTTCTGTCCCACGTTTCAGATCATTAGTAACAAAGGAGAACCTTAGGGCAACCCCCTAAGGTTGTAAAGGCTCTGAAGGTCACTTGTGATTGGTCAAAGTATAAACAAGTATGTGAAAGAAACACATGGTGATGTATCAATAACTAGGAATGTCCCAATCTGATAATGATTTTGGTTTTGACTGTAGTGCTGAGTATTTTTTGACTTTCAGGACATTTTGGATCTTTTCAAAAATGAGATCTTGATCCCGTGCAAAGTCCCGTGTGAAGTTGTGAAGCAATAATTCTGCCACAAATGACCTCTTGTCCAAACACAGACGTCCAGTGATAATACTGATCCTGTGAATCTGCATGCCAGTGATTGTCATCGATATTGCCGCCTACTCTACTTTCTGCTTTATTTTTTTTGTCAATGTCTTGCGCCTTTTCATATCTCTTCCCGACTCAAACCACGGAGGCTGCGGTAGATCTTGCGGTAAATGTTGATTAGCAGTTTTGAAGCTTTTTAGCACCAAACTATAATATTGCTCATACACATCAAAAGTTGTGTACACACTTGCAGAGACACAGCTTCTGACCCTGTGTCAGGTCTATGGAGGACATAGGTCTATAGAGGAAAGTACAGGCCAGAGAACTGTAAAGCAGTGATATCTATATGTATGTGTTTGTCCTCATGGTCTCTGTGGCCGCTGAGGTCAGACGCGAAACGATATGAAAGAATCACTTTGAAACCCCAGTCTTCCTCCTAATGTTTGTATACTAGTAATGTGTGTGTGGAGTTGATCTAGTGCCAAGACCTAAGATCGAATATAGAGGATCCTTTGGGCTGCTCTGACATTTTTTCCGAATTCCACTCATTTTAAGGGGCGTCGCCAAAATAGCTGCTCTGAGAGTTCTAGCAGTTTCTGATTTCTGGGGGTCCTTGTGTTTATAATTCGGACATCACGCATCACCACACTATCGCCATGACGATCTTTGTTTGACATAGCTTTCAGCCCAAATGAAAACCATACTCTGAATACTGGACACGTTTTACTGCTGTCTCTTCCAGAACACTCGTCTGTGTTGCACCAAACAGCGTTCAAATATTGCACACAGAACACATATAAATCTGATCCGAGCTTTTGGACTGGAGCCAGGCAGCAGACTGACGTGGAGGTTTTCAGGAGTTATATATTTCTTTCATCCAGCTGTTCTCACAAGCTCAGACTATTTTATTTTATACTCATGGGCTGAAATGTTCTGTGTTTGCTGGCAGAGTGTGTTGGTATTTGTTCGGTTATAAGGAGTCATTTATATTGTCTCACAGGCCCTTGCTCCCCTGACCACCCGCAACACCTCACTTTGTTCATAGATGGTTTTTTCTGAGACTGTAAATCGCGTATGACTTTGCAGCATTGCGAAGGCATTTCTTTTCCCTTTTGAAATGCAATATTACAACAATCTTTGGGAAGGAATGGGTACAATTCGTGAGAGAGAATTTTGGTCCCAGCAGGAGGCCGGTCCCTGTGCTCCTCAGAGTCAGAGTTTGTTCATATGACACTAACAAGTCATTGTACTTCGGAGCGAGGCCATGGAGATACTTTTATACTAGCAGTTTGTATAAAGTTTAAAGTCTATTCTCTGACCCACGGGAAGCCAGTGCAGAGAAATTAGCTTGTGTCCTGTCACTCTTTTAGATCAGATTCTTCAGCAGGAAAAAGGGAAACAGAAGCACCATCCTAAGTAGGGGTGAGAACCTCAGGGTACCTCACGATACGATACGTGATACAAAGCTCAGGATAACGAGTATAACACGATATGACGATTATACATACAATACATTGGTCAGAAATATTCTGTATAGAAATCTTGTCACGTGGCGAGATGATGGAGGAGTCAAAATGCAAGAATGCCGAAAATAATGATTTATTAAAATAAAAGTCCAGGTTAAAACTCAAAATCCAGGAAACAGAAACAAAACAGAAACAGACAAGACAATGGACCAGCAACAAGAGGAGAGAAGCACAGGGTACATATAGAAAAAGGGGGACACAGGTGAAACACATTAGGGCGGGGCAGACAATCAAGACAGGGGAAACAGATTACAAGATTACAAAATAAAACCAAAGTCCAAAATAACAAAATCCATACCATGACAAACCTTTTAGTAAAGCAATCTGAATAAACACAAAAAAGTTATAAGTGTAAGTTATTACCTAATTCACAACAATGGACTTGGGCAAGACACTTAACCCTACTTTGCCCAAAGCCCCAACTGAAAGATCTCAGCTCCTGTGGACTCAGCACCTGCAGGAGGATCAGTGAGGGGCTGGTGTTAAGTGTACTGGGTGCAGCTCTGACTGCCACCCCCCCGACCTAGAAATGGATTAAGGGGAAGAAAATGGATGGATGGACAACTATGGATTCAAATACAGCCCATATGGTCTGTTGGCAGCAAGGTCAGCTGATAGATGGAGATGGGTTTCTTTGGCAATATCTGGGTCATAGAACAATATGTTCTGGTTAAAGCAGATTATTACGAGATGTGCAATGTAGCCAAATATTAAGTATTGATACTAATAAAAAAAAAAAAAAGATTATTCTATTTTATTTTTTTTATTTTTTTAAATCAATACTTGGCAAAAGCATACTGATAATCGATCGTGTGAGAAATTATCACGATACATCACCATATCGATATATTGTCACACTCCTAATTCTTAGCCAATCATCTCTCGGCCTAAAGTGCCTCAAGTTCAAGTTACCTTTATTGTCGCACTGGGGGGAATTGGTTTTTCAGCAAAAAACAGGCAGACACAAGAGAGGTTGTCACAAAGCTAATTTTCAGTGCAAATATGCTGTAAAGTGCAAAAGTTTGTATAAAGTGCTATGTGCTGTTGAGGTGCTACACAGCTGTTGGGATGAATGTAGTTCCCAACCATGATTAAGCTTATTGACTCACAGGGCACTTTCTCACAAGTATTTAAAAGAAAACATGAATTATGATTATAATTTTATTCTCAGCATTTGACTTCGGCTAGACTTTATCCGTTTTGTATTAAGAAAAAAAAAGTAGGTACCGCAGTTTTAAGCAGGGCGCTCGCATCAGACTTACCACCACCGTGTTTGTAGTGAATGATTAGTGCAATGTGCTTGAGTGCCTTATTAAAATCTATTATTGAATATTGTTATCAAAATGATTAAGATCTCATGCATTATTATTGGTATTATGAAGCGGACCTTTGCGCCATGCTCTTCTCACCTGTTCTCACCTTGTGTTTTAGGGAAAGCGTTCGCGCCAGAGTTCTACTACGACACGTACAGCCCGGTGTGGCAGAACCGGCCTCGAGTCTACGGCTTCAAACTGCAGTGGACCCAGATGAACCCCAACGCTGTGGACCGCATTGTGGCCTACAGACTGGGCATACGACAGGTACCGCCGCAACACACTGCCTACACACATCAAGTGTATACACCCGTTATATTACATTTGTTGAGGCACTTCATATTCCATTAGCAGTGAAGGAGAAACTTGCCCTGGTTCCAGCATTGCATCATTTCAATCTGGACAAAAAGCAATGGGGTTGATACAGGGATGAGAGACGGGGTCATTAGTTGGTTCTTGGACCTTGGGAAAGAGATGACTAAGGGCAAGATAAGATAAGATAAGACAAGATAAACCTTTATTAATCTCACAGTGGAGAAATTTCAGTGTCATCGTTGCGCACATTACAGCAGAGAAAGGAAATAAGAGCACTCAGATTGCACACATCAAAGACTATTATTTAAGATAATAGACAATAAATTTAAGATAAAATAAAATAAAATGAGATAAACTCTGGGCTATAATTGCACTAGGTTTGGAAGTATTTACAGATGTTCATATTATACATTAGCAGCGGAGAATATGAGAATATGAGAATATGAATATGAGCAGAATATCCATCCATCCATCCATTTTCTTCCGCTTTATCCGTTGCCGGGTCGCGGGGGCAGCAGTCTAAGCAGAGACGCCCAGACTTCCCTATCCACACACACTTCCTCCAGCTCGTCCGGGGGGACCCCAAGGCGTTCCCAGGCCAGCTGCGAGACATAGTCCCTCCAGCGTGTCCTAGGTCTTCCGCGGGGCCTCCTCCCGGTGGGACGTGCCCGGAACACCTCCCCAGGGAGGCGTCCAGGAGGCATCCGGAACAGATGCCCGAGCCACCTCAACTGGTTCCTCTCGACGTGGAGAAGCAGCGGCTCTACTCCGAGCTCCTCCCGTGTGACTGAGCTCCTCACCCTATCTCTAAGGGAGCGCCCAGCCACTCTGCGGAGGAAGCTCATTTCGACCGCTTGTATCCGCGATCTCGTTCTTTCGGTCATTACCCAAAGCTCATGACCATAGGTGAGGGAGGGAACGAAGATTGACCGGTAAATCGAGAGCTTTGCCTTTCGGCTCAGCTCCCTCTTTACCACAACGGTCCGATACAGCGACCGCATCACTGCGCACGCTGCACCGATCCGCCTGTCAATCTCACGCTCCATTCTTCCCTCACTCGTGAACAAGACCCCGAGATACTTGAACTCCTCCACTTGAGGAAGGACCTCTCCACCCACCTGAAGAGGGCAGGGCACCTTTTTCCGGTCGAGCACCATGGCCTCAGATTTGGAGGTGCTGATTCTCATCCCAGCCGCTTCACACTCGGCTGCAAACCGTCCCAGTGCATGCTGCAGGTCCTGGTTCGTTGGAGCCAACAGGACAACATCGTCCGCAAACAGCAGAGATGAGATCCTGTGGTCCCCGAGCCGGACCCCCTCCGACCCCTGGCTGCGCCTAGATATTCTGTCCATAAATACAGTGAACAGAACCGGTGACAAAGGGCAGCCCTGTCGGAGGCCAACATTTACCGGGAACAGGTCTGACTTACTGCCGGCAATGCGAACACAGCTCTGGCTCTGGTCATACAGGGACCGGATGGCCCTCAGCAGAGGACCCCCGACCCCGTACTCCCGGAGAACCCCCCAAAGGACACCCCGGGGAACACAGTCGAACGCCTTCTCCAAATCCACAAAGCACATGTGGACAGGTTGGGCGAACTCCCATGAACCCTCGAGTATCCGATGGAGAGTATAGAGCTGGTCCAGTGTTCCGCGACCGGGACGAAAACCACACTGCTCCTCCTGGATCCGAGATTCGACCATCGGCCGTAGCCTCCTCTCCAGTACCTTGGAGTAGACCTTACCGGGGAGGCTGAGGAGTGTGATCCCACGATAATTGGAACACACCCTCCGGTCCCCCTTCTTGTAGAGAGGGACCACCACCCCGGTCTGCCACTCCATTGGCACCGCCCCCGATCGCCACGCGATGTTGCAGAGACGTGTCAACCAAGACAGTCCTACAACATCCAGAGACTTTAGATAATCAGGGCGGATCTCATCCACACCCGGAGCCTTGCCACCATGGAGGCTACCAACCACCTTGGTGACCTCAGCCAGGGAGATGGATGTATCCGCCCCAACATCCTCAGCCTCTGCCTCTGTAACAGAGGACGTGACGGGGGGATTGAGGAGAACCTCAAAGTATTCCTTCCACCGTCCGACAATATCCCCTGTCGAGGTCAGCAGCTCTCCACCCGCACCGTACATGGTGTTGGCAAAGAACTGCTTCCCCCTCCTGAGGCGCCGGACGGTTTGCCAGAATTTCTTTGAGGCCGACCGATAGTCATGCTCCATGGACTCTCCGAACTCCTCCCAGTCCCGGGTTTTTGCCTCTGCAACAGCCCGGGCCGCGGCACGCTTGGCCTGCCGGTACTGGACAGCTGCCTCAGGAGTCCCCCGAACCATCATGGCTCGATAGGACTCCTTCTTCAGCCTGACAGCATCCCTTACTGCCGGTGTCCACCACCGGGTTCGGGGGTTGCCGCCGGGACCAGCACCAGAGACCTTGCGACCACAGCTACGAGCCGCCGCATCGGCGATTGAGGCAGAGAACATGGTCCACTCGGACTCCATGTCCCCCTCCTCCACCGGGACCTGGGAGAAACTCTCCCGGAGGTGTGAGTTGAAAGTCCGTCTGACAGGGGGCTCAGCGAGACGTTCCCAGCTGACCCTCACTATACGCTTGGGTCTGCCAGGTCTGACCGGCTTCTTCCCCTGCCAGCGGATCCAACTCACGACCAGGTGATGATCGGTTGACAGCTCCGCCCCTCTCTTTACCCGAGTGTCCGAGACACGCGGTCGAAGGTCAGATGATACGACAACAAAGTCGATCATCGACCTCCGGCCTAGGGTGTCCTGGTGCCACGTGCACTGGTGGACACCCTTGTGCTCGAACATGGTGTTCGTGATGGACAAACCGTGACTGGCACAGAAGTCCAACAACTGAGCACCGCTCGGGTTCAGATCAGGGGGGCCGTTCTTCCCGATCACCCCTCTCCAAGTGTCACTGGCGTTTCCCACATGGGCGTTGAAGTCCCCCAGGAGAATAACGGAGTCCCCGGGCGGTGCACCGTCCAGTACCCCTCCCAAGGACTCCAAGAAGGCCGGGTACTCTGCACTGCCGTTAGGCCCGTAGGCCGTCACAACAGTGAGAGACTTGTCCCCCACCCGGAGGCGGAGGGACGCGACCCTCTCATTCACCGGGGAGAACTCCAACACGTGGCGGCTGAGATGGGGGGCAATAAGAATGGCCACCCCAGCTCGCCGCCTCTCCCCGCGGGAAACACCAGAAAAGTGGAGCGTCCAACCCCTCTCAAGGAGTTGGGTTCCAGAGCCCAAGCTGTGTGTGGAGGTGAGGCCGACTATCTCTAGTCGGTATCGCTCAACCTCCCCCACAAGCTCGGGCTCCTTCCCCCCCAGTGAGGTGACGTTCCACGTCCCAAGAGCCAGCTGTTGTGTGTGCGGACTGGGTCGTCGAGGTCTCCGCCTTCGACTGCTGCCCAGTCCTCTCTGCACCATGCCACCACGGACCCCTCTGCAGGTGGTGGGCCCACAGGAGGGACTGCCCACGTCGTCCATTCGGGCTGAGCCCGGCCGGGCCCCGTGGGCTAAGGCCCGGCCACCAGGCGCTCGCCTACGAGCCCCGACCCCAGGCCTGGCTCCAGGGTGGGGCCCCGGCTGCGCCATGCCGGGCGACGTCACTGTTTTTGTATGAGTGCTGTCCATGGTGTCTTCTGGACTGCGCTTTGTCTGACTCGTCACCTGAGACCTGTCTGCCATGGGAGGCCCTACCAGGGGCATGAAGCCCCAGACAGCATAGCTCCCAGGATCATCCGAGTACTCAAACTCCCCCACCACGTTAAGGTGGCAGTCCAGGGGGGAGATGAGCAGAATAAACATCAGAAATAATATCAACAGGTAAAGTGACTTGAATGGGAGAATTATCAGATGGATATGAATAATACAGTAAGATATCAACAGGTAAAGTGACTTGAAAGGCAGAAATATGTAGTAATGCAGTAGTACTGATAACAGGTAAAGTGACTAGTGACAAAGTTACTAGTGAATTATCAGTGACACTTGTGCAGACTCAGCAGTTCCTGAGTCTGCACAAGTGATAAAGATAAAGAGGTTAAGGTACACTTTATTTATTCCCTTGGGCAATTTGTCCTCTGCATTTGGCCCATCTTTTAACACCACTATCACACAGTCCATAATGGTTATAAGATATGATTATTCATCTCACAGTGGAGAAATTTCCATGTCACATTTGGCATAGATAGAATGTGCAAAAGACAGAAGTGTGCAAACATGTTAAGGTGAAAAATACAAGTATATAAGTGTAGGATATAGTAATCCTGGGATATGAGATGAAATCCTAATTCACCAGAGGCCTGTTGCTAGAAGCTGGTCTGGTTTTGGTTTGCGGTTGGTTTGTCTGCATTGTCACTCTATATGGCGTATACAATGTCACTCGCATATAGAAAAAAAAAAAACTCACATAAATGCAACCCACCAAATTTTGACCTGGGACTGGAAGCTGCGCAACCAACTTGAACAGTATATACTATTGGAAAAAAATATATATATATATCTCTGTTTATCACTGAATATGTTTAGCCCTTGCTGACCTTGATGGTCCACCAATGTTAAATTCAAATAAAGTTGTTTGTAACACAGTCATGATTTTGTTCAAGCCAATGAATTAAATCAAATACCTACCTGTAGAATAATAAGGAGAATTGATGACATTTTATCCATACAAGTGTCTCCGTTGCTGCGGTGGAGCACAACTCAGACAAAGTACTAAAGTAATATGTAAATGCCTCTCCGCTGGTTCAGAATTAGCTCGTCCTCTGACAGCCGTGTTTCTCTATGAATAATACAACCTCGTGTGGACTGCTCCGCTGGGAAGTGGAGCCTGAAGACGCATTGGGAAAACGTTTTTGTTTGTGTAAGGCAATGATTTTTCTGTCCACTCCCGCGCTGGTCCTTTTGGTAATAAATGATGTTGTATGCGACAAAGCCAGTGTCCGGGTTTTGGCTTTTGTTGCGGCCGCTGCTCGAAACAATACAGAAAAGAAATATCTGGTCTTGCTTAAGATGAGTTGATTATTCTTGTCAAATTGATTTCAATGTTTCTTCCTCCTTGCCGACTTTTGGATAATGCCAGGGAATAGTAGTGTGATTAAATCTGCTTTTGTTATAGTAAGAAAAGAGAACATGGTCAGGCATTTCTGGATGTAATTTTCAACATAATCACATTTGATCTGTTTTTGTTTTGTATGAATATGAGTTAAAACTTTGGTATTTTGTTTCATACTTGATAAATAGTTGTAACATTGAGTGAGGATGGTCCGCTCTTTTTCACTTTCTGAGAGCGAGGAACAATCAATCAAGATGTTTATTTCAAAACCTGTTCTGTGACAATAATACAAAACAAAATAAAACTTTTAAAAAGGGATTGAATGAAGCAAACTTATTTTTTATATAGCAGCGGTTAGAGCTTGTGCCTCACAGTAGGAAGGGTTAAATTTCATCTCCGGGCCTTTCTGTGTGGAATTTGCATATTCTTAGATTTCCTCCGGGTGCTCCGTCTCTGAGCGTAATGAGTGAATGGATGGCGTTGGTCGGAGGCTTTGATGCACCTGTGTGTTCTGCGTCATCCTTGTGTGGAGAGAATGGAAAAATATCTGAACTCTGAACATTGTAAAGCGCTTTGTGTGACCTTGGTCTGTAAATGCATAATAAGATTGATTAATAACATTACTTACTTGCTTAATAGACACACACACAAACACACACTCCAACAAGACACAGGCCCAACACTCTCTGACCCTAAACCTGTTTCCCACAACTCGCTCTGTTCTGTTCCATTGGTTTAGGTTTTGAATGTTAGATACCTCAGCCCTAATTAACATTGGTTTGTGTTTGTGTTGAGTGGATGGTTCTTGGTTGGTTGTTTAAAAAATGCAGCTCTTTTTTGGACACTCATCGATGCTTTACATGTATTCATTCATTCAATACACGGTGGTGATAAACTACTACTGTAGCCACAGCTGCCCTGGGGCACACTGACAGAAGCGAGGCAACCAGTATGTGCCATCGGCCCCTCTAACCACCACCAACCATTCACACACACACCAGACTCATTCTAGGCAATGGGGGTGAAGTGTCTTGCCTAAGGACGCAACGGTAGTTTGGCACTTTACAGCCGCCCCACTGTGGCGGGTGTTCCCAGTGTCTTGCCAAACACACAATGACATCAGTGGGAGTCGATGGTACATTTCTTGTGGTGGACTCGAACCCAGCACATTCTGGTTCAAAGGCCAATGCTCTACCAACTGAGCTACTGCCGCCCCAAAGTTTAGTTTTAGAAGGTCTTAGTAGATTCTATACCAGATAATTGTAAGATAGCGATGTTATTACCTTGACATGTTTCGACTGTAATCTGGTTTCCTCTGAAGCGTCTCGCGACATCACTCATCAGCTGATCTTGCCAAGCGCATTCAGCCCAGCCAACCTGACTGCACCCAATAGATATCAGGAAAAGCAGCACAAGCACTACGAATCAAGGCGAGGTAAACCATTAAGCCCAGAAGCCCAGCAAACCATATAGGTCTATCTTACAATTGTCTGCTATAGAAGAATCAAATAACTTCATGTTACACCATTGTTCCCTCATAAAAGAAAACAACAGTTGTTTTTAGATACATAGAATGAGTTCCCAGAGCCTTTACTTATGTTAGAGATAAAGGTGGAGGAGCCCAGGGTACAGCCACTGCTCCCCCATATCAGCAGAGGTGATTTTGGCTTTGGTTTTTCCTCACCATTATGCCCATTCCTAGTGAACTGCTGGAACGCAATAATGACATTTCTTGTACATGCACGTTTATAAAAAACACAAAAACAAAGGTTATCCCAAAGGCTTAGCTGTTTCCGACCTGCTTAAGCTTTTGAAGGATGTCTGGGAGCTATTCTTCCTCAAAGTCGTTGGCCTTAATGTGACAGGAGTGGCCGATCGAAGCACACTCCCAGTGGCACTCCTGCATCGGATCTTCGGACACGAGTAATTGTTGTGTTCGTTCACACCAGCTCCATAATCAAATCAATAAAAAAATCTAATCATGAATCATAGACATTCTAGGTGGGAGCGCTCCAGATGTCTTATAGATCCAGTATTTCACGAAAGCAGTAATACAGTTCTGTGTATAAGAGTTCACAGATAATCCATGGATCGACTTAGCCTTGTTTACCACACGGAAAAGAGCAGCTGTCAACATTATGTTAGCTTGGAGGTGCTTTATGCAACTTTTTTATGTGGAGGAATATATATATATTTGACCCAGTGGCTGTATGAGTGGTCCGCCTGGTGTCTTTACTTTCGGTCACAGTGGACTCTAGAATGCCATAGGATCAATTATTTGGGAATATTGCTGAGCGACTCCCACACCAGAAAGATAAGATAAGATAAGATAGACTTTATTGATCTCATGCTGGAGAAATTTACATGTCACATTTGGCATGGATAGAATCATTCAGATTGTGCAAAAGACAGAAGTGTGCAAACATGTTAAAGGTAAAAAATACAGTCTGTGCAGGATCAATCAAAACATAGGCTATAAAAGAAAGAGTGACAATAGCAGTGCAGGGTTTTTTCAGTCCGAGTGCATCAGTGACTTAAGGATCACCCTCCCTGTAC